AGGCTAGGCTCTAGCCCAGCGCCTTCCACGAGTGGCCCGGCGCGGAGCCCCTAAAGGGGCACCCTTATAGGTGCAACCAGGCAACAATCGGTCAGTATTGTTGTTACGAATCCTTTTGCCTTCCGTGGTTAAGTGGGTAAGAGGATTAGGGCTCACGCCCCTGATAGCTGCGGGGCTGGTTGCCCCCGAAGCCCCTCTAGGGCCAGTCTGTCATATAAAGAGGTAATATTTTTATATTACTAGTCTTAGTTATAATCTTAAAGGTTTCCTTTTTTTTTTACTTATTTAAATTTACTTTACTTAATAGCTTCCTAAAGCTATTAAAGTAAATAATTCTTTATTACTTAACTATCTTTTAATACTAATAAAAGATTATTATAATAATAATATAATTATAACTAAGCTATTTTATTTATTTAAAGTATATTTATTAATATTATAAAAAGCTATAATAAATATAATCTTTTTTATATAGGTTATAAAGTATTTTAACTTTAATAATTATATCTTCTTAGGGTTTTAAAAAGATAGCTATATTCTAGCCTTTTATATATCTTACCTACTTCTTTTCTTTTCTATAAAGGCTTTATCTATCTTTCTTAATAACTAGCTTTTTAATAAAAATAATTAAATTAGGTTTAAATATAAATATACTTTTAGTATTTTATTATAAAGTATCTTTAATATTTTCTTTTAGGTTAAGGTTATTTATATTAATAAATAATAGCTTTTTTAAGGTAAGTTAGAATTTATTATTTTTTAAAGTAGCTACTTTATTAGTATAATTAATTTCCTTTTTTAAAAATAGAATTAACTTAGGATTTAGTAATTCTTAGGCTAATTTATATATTACTTTATATTTAACTAATAAAATATTATTATTTATTATAATTTTTAATATTTCTTTTTAAAGGCTTTTAAGAGTTATTAACTTTATACTTTAAGCTATATTAAGTTTTAATACTTTTATTATAAGGCTTTTTAATACTTTTATTATAATATTATTTAGCTTTCTTTTACTTAAATATAATAGTATAGTTATTTTTAAATAGAGCCTTAGCTTATCCTCTTTATTTTAGAATAGTTCTTAATAAAGGCTATCTACCTTAATAATAAGAAGTATATTAGTACTTTTTATTAGTAGCTAATAAAATAGCTTTTTATTAAAATATATATTCTTTATAGTAATAATATACTTTAGTTAAAGAATCTATATTTTATAAATATTAATTATAATATAACTAACTAAATATTTAATATAGCCTTTAAGGTTAATCTTAAAGTCTCTTTTATTAGACCTTTACTCTTTTTCTTTTAATAATATATATATATAATATTTATAGGCTTATAAAGCTCCCTACTTAGGCTAAGTATTTAATATAAATATAGGTTTATATATATATACTTAGGAATTCTTTTATAGCTATTTAATAAGTACTTTATATAATATCTTCTAGTTATACCTTTATAATAAATTAATATATATTAATATTATAGTAGTTATATAACTTTTAGGCTATAGGTTTTTTAGAAGGTTAATATTATATAATATCTTAATAAAGTATATAGTTATCTCTTATCTTATATACTTAATATTATTATTTAGCTTTTTTATATATAATAATAATATCTTTAAGGTAATTCCTTTTTTTTATATTTAAAGCTAATACTTAGTATAGGTAAAATTATATTAAATTATTAAAGGCTTATTATCTTACTATATTATATATATATCTAGTCTATATTAGGTTTTTACCTATATATAAAAGGCTTAAATAGTATAAAATAAGGGTTTTTATACTTTTAAAAGTAATAGCTAATAATAGATATACCTTATATATTTATCTTTAATAGTAAATAACTAGAATTTACTATTATAACTTATAAGATAGTCTTAAAGATTTTAATTAATTTTATTAAATAGTCTTTATATAAGGTTATAACTAGGTTATTATAAAATAACTTAGCCTATATAGATTAATATATAGTTTTTATAGTTAATATATTTAATTCTAATAATCTTTATATTTAATATACTTTTATTAATTATACTTAAAGCTTATAGCCTTAAATACCTTAAATAAAAATACTATAGGTATTTATTAGCTTATAATATTAGTAGTAGTTAAGTAAAGTATTTATAGCTTTATCCCTTTTTTTACTTTAATAGTATTATAACTATATTATCTTTTAAGTATATTAGTAATTATTAAAAAAGAATATATTTAAAGAATATAAGGTTATTAAAGTATATTAACTATTAAACTACTTTACTTTTTACTATATTTTTTCTATATAAAGTATAATTAAAGCTATATAGCTATAAACTAATAAAATAAATTAGTACTTTTAATATAATATTAACTAGTATTTTTAATATTATATATATATTACTTAATATTAAGGTTTTAGATTTACCTTTAATATTTAATATATTTATTATTATATAGGTTTTAATACTATTTAACTAAAGGATTTATTTACTAGTATTTATAGAAAATCTATTATTTAAGATTTAAATTAATTCTAAATTAAGAAGTATTATATTATTAATAATATATATACTATTATAGTTATTAAAGAGTATAGATTTATATAAATAGTATTTACTTAGGTTTATAAGAGTTATATTAATAATATAAATTAGTTTTTTAAGAAAGCTATACTTATTTTTATAATCTTTTAAGAGTTTAGGCCTAAATAATATATATATAAATTTATTATTCTTTCTTTTACTATTAGTAAAACTCTTATTACCTTTATACTATATATACTTTACTTTTATATATATATTATATTTAGTACTAAAGTAGCTTTTTATATTTAAAATCTACTAGGTAATTTAGAGGCCTAGCTATATATACTTTCTTATTACTTATTATAATAAATTAAAGTATATAGTATTCTTTAGGCTTTTACTAATACCTCTTTTTAATATTATAAAGATATATAAAGTCCTTAGCCTTATCCTTTTTATACTTTTTATTATTATAAGGTATACTATATATAAAAACTAATTTTAAGGGTTATAGTTTATTATTTATATAAAAGAAGGTTTTATATTCTAATAAGGTTATTTTTAATTCTTTACTTTAAATAATATAAACCTTATTTTTATATAACTATAATAAAGCCTATTCTAAATATAGCTTTATTTTAATAGCTTTAAGGAAATTATTAATTAATTATTAATTAATAGTATATTAAGTATATTTATATAATTATATATTACTTCCTAATTCTTAAGCTATTTTTTAATATTAATATTCTCTTAATATATATTTTATAGTATACTTTTATATATAGTCTACTTTAACCTCTATATATACTATATTTAAAATAATAATTAACTTAAGCTTTTTAATTAATTAGTAAATAATATACCCTTTTAGGTATTCTTTTTTAAGCTTATTATATACTTTAATTATTAAATAAAGATTAATAAATAATATAATAAGTTTATAAACCTTATTTAACTTAATTTTACTTTCTTTATATATTTATAAGGTAATCTTATATTTTTATTACTTTTAATTAAATAAGGCTTTAAATATATTAAGTATTTTAAAGTTTACTTTAATAGATTTTTTAAGTTTTATAATTTTATAAAATTCTACCTTATATATTTTAATCTTTATAAGTATATTAAAAAGGTTTAATATATCTTTAATATTATCCTTTTTTATAAAATTAATAATTATTTATATACTTATTATAAAAGATTAAAAAACTTAAATCTAATTAAATTAACTTTTTAAGTTATATTATTTAAGTCTAAATAAGATTATAGTCTTAATATAAAATAATATAATAAAATAATAAAATAATAAAATATTATATAATAATAATAATAATAATAATAATAATAAATAAAATAATAATAAAAAAAAGAAATCTATATAATATAAATATTATAAAAAGTTTTAAATTATAATAAATACCTTATATAATTAGAATCTTTTAAGCTTATAATTATAAAATATTAATATAATTATATAAAATAATAATATAGTTAATATAACTTATAAAAAAATAATAAAAAGTAAAAATAATAAAGAAAATTAGCCTTATATTAGATAAAGCTATAAAGAATAATTAGTTAATTTATATATCCTATTTCCTAGCCTTAGGCTATATAATTTAAGTTATAAGATAATACTATATCTTAGGATACTTAAGGTTATTATTTATCTACGCTTATTATCGGTATGGATAAGATAAGCTCTCTTATCGAGGCAGTGCTCTATGCGATAGGATATGTTGTTTGCTGGGGTGGTGGGGGCGTTGACATGTCACATGTGAATTGGTCTCGTGTGTAAGAGAATCTCCAACGGCCACGAGCTGGAGTGGTACTACAACATACCACCATAATTGAACTCTCCGAACATAAACACCGGTGTTGGCACACTTATCACTTATCATCATCTGGCATCTACAGAGTTATCCCCTGCGCGAGGTAGTAGCCAGATCCTAGTTTCATGTCCCCCTGCTTGTTTCCACACATCTCTATAAGGGTCTAGTAATTTGTACTCCGTACGCCTTATTATATAGCCGAACGCTTATCTGCGGCATAAGAAACCTTGCTTCAACCAGCAAGAATCGACAGTTTGACACTCTCATCCGATAATAACGGCTGTGGCTAGTGGACGGCGGCTGCATGCGCCACGGGCCACACCTGTGAGGCTGTGTCCTTGGAAACAACCCCCTGCTGAGGCTGGTGAAACAGAGGTGGCCAGGCAAACATAGGGATTCTTGTCTGGGAATGGGTACAAACTTCTTGCAGCTACTCGCACCTGCTGCAAAGTCACTCCATCACAAAGGTCGGCTGCCCTGACTGACAGCTAGCGCGCGCCACTTGACCTATTTGGCCTTGGCGTCCCGGGAGCTTCACTTGCCGTTGCCTCTCCATGATGGACGCATATTGTTGTGCTTGCTGCGCCCTCGGCCTTCATCAACTAACTGTCCATTTCTCACGATATCCCGCATATTTGTATCACACAATCTCTCGGGCACCATGGCCGATGCCAAGACTGAATCGGCCGCTATTTCCCCCGCGGCCGTTGGAGCTCCCGTTTCCGACACAACGGCCCCGCCACCGCCGCCGGCTGACACCCCTCCAAAGGCGACACCCCCGACGAGCATCGACATCGACAAGAACAAGCCGAGCGATTTTGACGGGCAACTTGCGACAACCGATGAGATACCCTCGGATGCTACTCTTGCCAAGGTTGCCGAGTATGTCCTGCTCGACAAACACGGCAAGTCGCACACCTTCCAGAGTCTCTACAACAGCCCCAACGGTGCCCGACGAGTGTTGGTAGTCTTTGTCCGCCACTTTTTTTGCGGTGTATGTATTGTCCCGAATACCTTTGCCGCTTTACCGAGCGCTCGGATCTGACTGATCTAGAACTGCCAAGAGTACATTCGCGCTCTCGCCGAGTCGGTATCCAGAGAAGCTCTCCTCGGACTTCCCGTCACCACATCCATCGTCATCATCGGCTGTGGTGACCCGCAGCTCATCGAAATGTACATCGAGGCAACTCAGTGCCCATTTCCCTTGTATACCGACCCAAAGAGTATCCTCTTTGAAGCCCTCGGCATGGTCAAGACGCTCGCGCTCGGCGACAAGCCCGCCTATATGAAGATGGGGTTCCTGAAGGGCGTCTTTACCGGCATGAGTCAGGCGTTGAAGCAGCTGCCCCGCGGCCTCACCCTCAAGTCGGGCGACCAACGTCAGGTCGGCGGCGAGTTTCTCTTTGAGCCGCTCGACCTGGTCACGCCGCTGACGACGCCCATGGACGGTTACAACGGCCCCGCCATCATGGAGGCCTTCGACCCGCGCCCCAGCCACGGTGACAGCGGGAGCCAGCTCGAGGTCAAGAAGATTACGTGGTGCCACCGCATGCGAAGCACCCGCGACCACGCCGAGATTCCGGAAATCATGGAGCTCCTCGGCCTGGACGGCCACGGCCAACCGATCAAGGACACGGCGCTGTGGGAAAAGACGATCAACACTAGAAAGGGTACTGGAATATCCATGGCGAGCAGAATGAACGAATTGACTGCTGCGCAAAACGCAGAAGCAGACAAGGCATAGTTTGGTGCCGCATACCGCATGTCATATGAAATAAGCGTATCGCAACCATCTGGTCGCTTGCTTCTACTCGTCTTTTGATGTTAATAGCCAATGATTCCCCATCTATCTATTGCTGCTGGAAGCGACTCAAGCTGCTGTAGTCCAGCTGTCGTCTTCAGTGCTATATATAATTTCTTGAACTGGCATTCTATTGTCGACAATCTCTTTGCCATTGACAAGATCATTTTCGTCTGCGCGCTTGTAGCCATCTTCGAGGTTTGCCACAATACCTGCTCTGACATGGCGAGGTGCAAGTCTCTCCCTCGCCCGGTTGAAGTCGACCTCGACAAACCAGAGCTCGTCAAAGAGTGCGGCAGCGTCGCGCCACACATTGGCATTGAGGGCCACGTAGTTGCCCTCTACGACAAGGATGCGCTGTGTAGGCGTGATTACAATGTCATCCTCCTTCGGGTCTTTGACGGCGTGGTCAAACGATGGCACCTTGATGTCTGTGTCTAGTGGCATATTCCGCAGCTTTATAACCAACTCTAGAAACTTGGGAGCGTCGAAAGTAAAGGATGCTCCGCGGCGGGCGTGATGGAAAGCAGCGTCTGCCTGTGCTGATAGGTAGCTTCTCGGGTAATGGAAGCCGTCCATCGGAAGGAAAGCCGCCGGCGAGGGAGTGCCGGGATTCTGCTTCGCTGCTTTATCATTAAGACTGGAGGTGATGACTTTTGAGAATGTAGTTTTTCCTAGACAATGTTAGCTACGCAACCAAAGCGATGCAGTGTTACATACCCGAGCCGGGAATGCCAGCAATACCGATTACTGAAGAAGGTTAGAGCTATACTGAAACTCAAGGCCCAAAACTTACAAAGGCGCTTGTCCGCGGGTGTTCCCTGGTATTTTCGCCACACTTTATCGGCGAGCCTCTGCACTTGCTCTTCCATTTTGAACGTTGAAGTGATGGTAGGCTGGTAGTTGCTGGAAATAAGATGGATAGGCATAGGAGCTGCCCCGCGGACTCGAGCCCCACGTACTGGTACTGGGTTGCACTGAAAATAGCACAGAAATAGCCCAACAATCAAGCAATTGGAATATGAATGTTTGCCATAGGATGTTTACATCAATTTGTTTGCTCAATTTATTCACCCGCCCTTGACATCTACAGCGGTGCACACCCCACACGTCATGTCGGTAGCATCGGCGCCAGGCGGGGTAAACTTTTGGCGGTGGCTCGATACGGGAACCAATTTTTCTTCCTCACGCCAGAAGCACCGACATCACACGACCCCGGAAAGATGGCCGCGCAAGCAGAGGAGGCGCTCAAAGCGCTCAAAGGTATGGCGGTAATTTCATATATTTACTGCAGGAAGAACAGCTAGGCTGACCGGGGATCTGGACAGTGGCGGATGACAACAGCAACGGCAAGCCCGCCGCCCACGACGACGAGGACGGCGACGACTCTGACGAGGAGCCCGCCAACGGCGCCGACGCAGGCACTAGCGCCGCCAAAAAGAAGAAGAAGAGAAAGCCCAGAAAGAAGAAGAAGACCCCCACGAGCCAGACGGAGCCGCCGATGGTGAAGCTGAGCCTGCTGTTCCCCAACGCGAGCTACCCCAAGGGCGAGGAGGTGGAATACACGGACGACAACCGCTACCGGACAACGGACGAGGAGAAACGGCATCTTGACAATATTAATAGCGACTTTCTGACCGACTACCGCGAGGCGGCCGAGATCCACCGCCAAGTCCGACAGTACGCGCAAAAGTCCATCAAGCCGGGCCAGACGCTGACCGAGATCGCCGAGGGTATCGAGACGAGCGTGCGCGCGCTGACGGGCCATGACGGGCTCGCCGAGGGCGACCCGATGGTGGCGGGCATGGGCTTCCCCTGCGGACTGAGCCTGAACCACTGCGCGGCGCACTACACGCCTAACGCGGGCAACAAAATGGTACTGCAGGCAGCCGACGTGATGAAGGTGGACTTTGGCGTCCACGTCAACGGCCGAATCGTAGACTCAGCCTTTACCATGTCCTTTGAACCGCAGTACGACCCGCTGCTGGCGGCAGTGAAAGCGGCGACCAACGCCGGCATCCGCGAGGCGGGCATTGACGCTCGCGTGGGCGAGATTGGCGCCGTGATCCAGGAGACAATGGAGAGCTACGAGGTGGAGATTGGCGGCACGACGTACCCGGTCAAGAGCATCCGCAACCTAACAGGCCACAACATCCTGCCATACAGCATCCACGGCACCAAGTCAGTGCCAATTGTCAAGAGCAACGACAAGACCAAGATGGAAGAGGGCGACGTCTTTGCGATTGAGACGTTTGGCAGCACGGGCAATGGCCACGTACGAGACGACGGCGAGGTCTCGCACTACGCCAAGAATGCCGACAGCGGCCACGTCGATCTACGTCTGAGCTCGGCCAAGACGCTGCTGAATGCGATTAACAAGAGTTTCGGCACGTTGCCGTTTTGCAGGCGCTATCTGGACCGCATGGGGCACGACAAGTATCTTCTGGGGGTGAGTGCTGCGCAATTTGACAGCTGCATGGTGGTCTGAGAGAGAGCTAACAGCGTGCTTAGTTGAACCACTTGGTCGGAGCCGGTGTTATCGAGGCGTACCCGCCGCTGGTTGATAAAAAGGGCTCGTACACGGCCCAATTTGAGCATGTAAGTATCAAAGCGCACCTGGGGATCATCTTTTGGCCACTGGCAACTTGCTAACTGCAATACAGACTATTCTGATTAGACCGACGGTGAAGGAGGTCATTAGCCGTGGCGAGGACTACTAGCATCGCAAAGCGGCTATGGGCGGCGAATTTCAAGATTCAAAAGAAGGAAAAAAAAAACATGATTTAATCTTTAGGCTTGATGATTATAAGATGAGCTTAAAAAATCCACCACTTTGCAAGCTGGATGCGCTTGTATGCTGTCGCGTCAGCTATTCTGTTGGCTAAGTCTCAACGAGCCGGCGAAGGGCATGCATGCTTGTGACTTGGCAGTTGGTGCCGTACATATAAAGACTGAATCGAATTCATCTATATGATATGACATTGGCGGTTCGCGCGGACACGACATGTATGAAACCTGTTGGTGAAGGATGGATGTGTGGTGGATGAGATACGTCATGGTCGATAGAAATGACATCAAATCAAAAGGCCCAACCGCAGGGCTCCAAGTTCTGGACTACGTCGTCTCGTTCAACCAATGATACAGCGGCATGACCGCTGGGGGGGTTGCATTGCATGCGCTGTACGCTGTCCGTTGCGCCGATGGCTGCAGCCACGCCTGCGGTTTTTCAGATGGCGCAAAGCGGCTGCTCTCGGTCCTGGCTCGGCTTCCTCATGGTAATGGGTATTAATGCCGGACTTGGCCTCTCGCCGGCGGCATACTTTGCCTGCCCAAGAACCGAAACCTGTGCGTGGGTCGACTGGGCAAGTTTTTTACATTTAGTTATTATTACGTTGATCGCATTTGTTCACATTGTTCTGGATTTGCATGACTGTATTCCTGGCGGCAAAACGCGGACAGGCTACATCCCACTGTATTAGCTCCGACGTAGGGGCACCAGAGTAATACAGTGTCAGAGGTGCCATAAGCGGCTCACTCATCTGCATTACTCCGGTGCAATTGATGCACTCGCTGTTTGCGCCCAGGATCAGGACAAGCAAAAGGAGGGCGGCTCTTTGTTTGTTTTCTAGCGTCGATTTCCATCTTGGTCAAGCTTCCCCGTGGGAAAAAAAAACAAGAATGAAAAAGATCGCCGAACCGTCCTATTTGCGGACATTCCGGGGGCGTTCTCGCCTAGGAACGCAGAAACTTGGATGGCTCCGGGTCATTCTCGAGCTGTGTGAGACGCTACGCTGTTATCGGGCATACCCTGAGTGAAACAACCAATAGGAACTTCTCAATAGCCATCTTTCAGTGGATCCACCCGTGGCCAATTTTTCCTTCTCCAGGCGTCGCCGACCGCGTGCAGCCACTAAGAAGCCTGCTCGGGCCGCTGGAAAGGCCTAACTAGAGCCACTGGGGGCGGCACATGCAGGAAGCAACCAAAAAAACCAGGATCCTTTTGCGCCACATGAAAAACGCCGCTCCCCTGAAAAACCCGCATCCGAAGTCTTTTTCTCCCTGAACTGGTTTTAAAAGTAACTACCTCCTCCCCGGGCCACACACTTTTCCCCGTCATTCCCCAAACCACAAACCACCACCATCGACGACTTAATAGACCTTGCTTATAATCTTTAATCTTTTCTTTTTGCCTTGTTTGCGATACAAAGGAAGATAAAAAAAAGCAACACGACGATATTTCTGTTACGACGACGACATCTGACCGAGCCAGTGTGATTCACCAAACGCACGCGATCTAGAAAAACCAAGTGCCGACACGAGCAGGATAAAAAGGGCGACATTGTCTGTTCCTGAGGCAGACAAAATTTTCCCTTGACGACTTTTTTCTTTGTTTTGCAACAAACCCTCGACAGCCGAGTTCATCGCCTCCTTTCCGACGCATCACACGTCGCCACACACACATTCCTGCAAGATGAAGGTCTTTTCCAACGCCGTCACCTTCAACTACTCGTGGGACGAGGTCTCCTCGGCCAACTGGCAAAAATACGGGCCGTGGAACAACAAGTCGGAGCACGTCATCGCCGTCGACACGCTCTTGCGACGCGTCGACCCGGCCACGGGCATCCTCCGCACGGAGCGCCTCATCGCCTGCCGCCAGTCGGCCCCGGACTGGCTCAAGTCGCTCATGGGCGCCAAGATGGACGAGAGCTTCGTCTACGAGGCCAGCTACGTCGACCCGGCCACCAAGACGGTCACCATGGTCAGCCAGAACCTGACGTGGAGCAACCTGGTCAGCGTCCAGGAGGAGGTCGTCTACCGCCCGCTCGGCGACCACCAGACGCAGTTTACGCAGACGGCCAACATCACCGCTCTCTGTGGCGGCTGGCAGCGCATCAAGAACTCCATCGAGGACACGCTGGTCAACAGGTTCAAGGAGAATGCCGCCAAGGGCCGCGAGGGCTTTGAGCGTGTCTTGGAGATGAGCCGCATCGTGTTTGCCGAGGAGCGCGAAAAGGCCCTGCGTGAGAAGATTGCTCTGTGCGACAAGCTCGCTATGTGAAGACGCAAAAGTTCTTTATTCTTTGCGCTGAACAAGCTAATCTCGTCGCGGGTCTCTGCCATAACAAATTCGACCGATCGAGCCGCTCGACACCAAAGGGACCTCTACACAACACCCACTGCATATCCGAGTGGAGATTTCTCGCCCAACAAACTCAACCCTCTCTTTTCGTCCGTCCTTCTCAGCACGACTCCCAACTTTTGATTATTCGATTCATAGCTTGGCGCAAAGGCGGGAGTTTTTTTTCTCTAAAATTTCTCCATTTTCGACCGCATATACATTTCTGGCATGGCGTTTGTTGGCTTCATTCTCTTTATAATAGATGGATGGAAAAAAAGTTTTCATCTTGGTTGATAGCACTCCTCTGGTATATCTAGAGTCGGAGAGCTTTTTTTTATACGGCAGTCTGCACTGACAACAGGCTGCTTTGGGGTGCGGGATGGCGAGGGAACCTGAAATGGCTCTACCAGGCCTTGTACAGATAGATACTGGATGCAATCCAACTCTTATGACCCAATTACTTGCCTTGTGCGTGTGAATCTTGCTCTGCATTATAGATGAGACTTGTATGCCCGGATGCCAACACAACTAGCTGTAGCACCATTGTGCAGTTGAGGTTCAAAATGTGATTTCTACTCGTACAAGAAAACATCCATGGAGAACGCTTGAAGATGGTTTCGCGTACAATTCTCTTGACAGTCGAGCTTTTCTCAGCCCCGATCATCTCTGGTCAGCCCGCAAGGCCATCCATCCATCATTCATCCGTCGGCGGTTTTCTGCCGCGCACAGTATAACTAGTTCGCCGTCAGCCTCGTCCAATCCAGGGTTCGCCCGCCTCCCACGAGGCGCGCCGCAACGCCCAGCAACACTTACAATGGCCAGTACGCGTGCATGTCCCTGCTCCGTATATCCTTGCGCAGCTGGCTCAGATACACGGTAATCTCCGCCTCGGACTGCCCCAGCGCCTTTTGAAACAGCCGCATCACCATGCCCTCGAGGTTGTCCAGCAGGTTCCTCTGCTCCCAGCCGCCGAGCAGCCGCAGCCGCGCGTCGGCGGCCCACGGCCCGCACGGCAGCTTCAGCACCTCCTCGGTGACGGCGTCGAAGCCGGCGTCCTGGAACTGCTGCCGCCACCGCGTGGGGTCGTCGACGGGCGTGCCGTACTTGATGCACGAGTCCCGCAGCATCGACGAAAATTGCTGCAGCGCGCTGCCGTTGGGCACGCTGCCGTCGTCGCAGTGCAAAACGCCGGTGACGCAGTGGAACTCGGCCCAGCCGCCGGGCTTGAGATGTCTGGGCGGGGAGAAACAAAAGAGGTAAACAATGTTAGCATGTGATCAAGAGCGTGAGGGAGGGGGCGGCGACGGACTTGTAGCTTTGCTCGATGAGACGGGGGAAATCCCGGATGGAGAGGATGAGATCGCGAGCGAAGATGAAATCGGCGGTGCCTTCTTGCCACGTCCATTCTTCTTCAATGTCGTCGATTTCAAAGGTGCAGTTGGGAGGCACGCTGGAGCATCAGTCAGCTCGAGTCGTTGCCAGTTCGGGTCTTTGTACGAACAAATTCGGCTGTGTCGCTGCTTTGTCGACACCGACCACCTAATTGTCGCTCAGCAATTTTGCATCATCTGTAGAATCGCGTCTACACTCACCAAGGCGCTCGGAAACATGTCGGCCACGTCGATGCACCATGTACCTGTTTCCCTCCCGTGTAAGTCACGCCTGCGGGTTCAGCGAGGACGGCAAGATTGTACCTGTTCCGCACCCCAGATCCAAAATGCGCTGAGGATTGTACTCTTCATCAATGGGGGACAGAAAGTGCCTCTTGTCTAGCAGAGCAAAGTACTTGATGTGGCAGATGTCTAGACGCTCTAGCTCCTGCGTGTCCATCGGAAACCCATATTCTACCACATGTGTTAGCGCCTGATTCTCTCTATTTTTGCTTTTGCTTCTGCGCTGGACGATACGTACCTTTTTTGCCATATACGGCATACGTCCGTCTGCCCTCCCCGAGCTCTCCGAGTAAAATGTCCGTGTCGATTGACGTCAACGAAGACGCCGAGGAGCCGAGATCGCTTGCCTAGAGCAAGTTTAGACACTTCATCTTGGTTTCTTGTAGACGTATGTGAAGCCATACCTCGCTCTGCGCGTCAAACGAGTCTGGGGAGGAGTCCTACCAAGCTTGTAAGCGCCGAACGGCTGGTATGGGAAGTTGGGATCACCTCACCTCGTTGACTGCAATAACAACACCTGGTAGACTAGCCATGGCAAAGAGGCCACAACTGATAACTGGAGTGCTTGATAGATCCGTTAGTACAGATGAAAACTGCTCAGAAATATGGGAGATGGCGCCTTTTCTTTCTTCTTCCATTAGTTCGTGACCAGGACCCCTGCTTGCCAATGGCGAGCTAAAGCAACTACCCCTCTCTAGGCACTCTCCGAGCCCTCTCGCCGTTACACGTCAGTTGTCCGTATTAGAGATGAAAGTGACTGATCATTTCATATTCCTGGGCAGGCTTGTAAAGTAATTAATAGGCGGTGAGCGTTGCTCTCTCGCTGGTGTATATGACGCGGAGACAGCGGCTGCTACAGCGATTCTGAGGTTTGACAAGGCCTGCAATACCAATACGTATGAAAGGAGCAAAAAAATTGTTTCAGGTGAGACAAAAACCTTATTTGCACGACACGAACTACCCATGGACACCCTAGCCACAGCCAAGGCTCTCGCGGAGGCCAGGGCCGTCGTCGCCGGGCTCGAGGCCTACGACGGCTCCGTTGCGGCGCACCAGGCTCTCCTCAGCCGGGCCTCTGCGGTACGCGCCGCCATGGAAGCACCGTACGACACGGCGACGCGCTGGCTCGAGAACATGAGCGCCGGAGCCGCCATGAACCTCGTCGTGCGCACCGGGGCTTTTGAAAAGTTCCCTGCGCTCGGGACCGGGGGCAGCATCTCGGCCGCGGACCTGGCCTCGGCCTGCGGCGTGGACACGAGCGTCATGACGCGCGCCGTGCGCGTGCTCGTCGCCAACGGCCTCTTTGCGGAGACGGGCGCCGACACGTACGCGCACAACGCCGGCTCGGCGGCGTTTGCCCCGGGGGCCGGGCTGGGCGGGTTCGTCGGCGTCTGCGTCGACATCATGCAGGCGTGGGCCGGGCTGCCGCGGTACTGCAGCACGCACGCGCCCGAGGCGCTGTACGACCCGAAGCGGACGCCGTTGCGTGCGCGGCCGGCATGGAGGGCCGCACGTACTACGAGGTGCTCGAGACGGACCCGGCGCGGCGCGCCCTCTGGGACGGCACGCTGCAGGCCATGGCGAGCAACTTCCCGGTCCTGGGCATGTTTCCGTTTCGCGAGCGCTTGCGGGCGCAGGATGGCGGCGGCGGCGGACGGCATCGTGCGGACATTGTCGACGTCGGCGGCGGGCGCGGCCAGGCGCTGCTCGCGATCCAAGGGGACGGCGAGGGCGTGTTCAGCGGCCGTCTTGTGCTGCAGGATCTGCCGACGGTCATTGACACGCTGAAGCCCGAGGACATTCCCGGGATCGAGCCCATGGCCTATGACATCTTCACCCCGCAGCCTGTACAGGGTGAGCCGCAGCCCCAGCCCTTAACCCCCCCCCCCACGTAACCAGGTCTCGGAACTAACCAGATATTATGCTGGCGGCGGGCGCGCAGGTGCACGCGTCTATCTCATGCGCCGTCTCCTGCACGACTTTTACGACCCCGAGGCCGTCCAGATCCTGCGGAACACGGCCGCGGCCATGGCGCCCGACTCGCGCCTCGTCATCTGCGACATGCTGGTCCCAGACCGCGTGCAAGTGCACGGGCCGATGACGCTGTACTGGCTCGACTTTTCGCTCCTCACTATTGGCGGCAAGGAGCGCTCCCGGTCCGAGTTTGAGGATGTGTGCGCCCAGGCCGGGCTCGAGATTGTCGACATCTACCCGTCCGCGGGCGATAACACGGTCATGCTGGAGACGAGGCTCAAGAGCCGATAGCTGCTGCCGGACTCTATTCTTTTCTGAACGAGAAAGTCGCGAGACTAGCGGATGCGCCGTGACAGGAGGTGTTGGTTTTGGGGGGTTGTGAAGTAGGATAGGAGTTGGTACTGCGAGTTGCGATGTCCTCTAGTTATCTTGTTCACTGTCAAGAAAAAAAGTACGACTTGCAAATTTTCAGTCGCCCACCCACTGCAGTTGCTTAATACATGGTCGCTGTATTCTGCACGGTTCCGTCCGAGGCGCAATCAACGCTGGAGCTAGGGCCATGGGGAGTGGCAGCGCCGCGACGGCCTCGATTATGTACTAAGACAACAGCTTTCTGAGCAAAGACCACAGCTGCAGCATTACGGGTGCTACTGCAGGTGTAACATGTAAATTTGTACAGCTCTGCAGTAACCGCCCGATTTGGACTAATGCCGACGGTAGGGTGTCAGCGGAGCATCGCAACACGACAATCACTATCAAGACTTCTACCAACCGGCAGACTATAAAGGCCGCTACTGCAGACTTGTGGGATTTCTGCTTATAAAAGAGCTTCGGCAAAATTTCCGCAATCGTGTGGTAAATTCGGAAGCGGAAGCTTACCCCAGGATTCCGGGGTTGGCTGTGCGATAAACAGCGCCCCATGGTTTGCCAGCCAATGAACTCGTTTCCAAACAACTCCAGGCTTGGCGGAGCACACACGACGTCAGCCACATTTGGCTAAACTATAATTTGTAGTGTGAGACAGTTGAGACAGTGCTATAGTGTGGGGTTTGGCTGGGCTTTATAGTGTACTTGCCGACCTGGCTATCTATACACACTTGCCGTAGTGCCCGAGCTGCTGAGCAGCACCTCGTCTCTACATTATCATCAAACTACATCTGTCGCGCACTCCCCTTTCCCTCTACCATTCTCCAATGCTTTGAACACACTTGAAAATCCATCATCTTGACCATGTCCTCGCAGGATTTTGCTGTCAACAAGTCCGAGAAGCACCAGCCTGATCGCATAGCCGCCAGCATGAGCGATCACTCTATCGAGGCCGACGGCCTCGCTCAAAAAACCGTCACCAGGACGGATGAGAACCGCCTGCACGAGATGGGCCACGAGCAGCAGCTGGCCCGACGATTTTCCATGCCCGCCCTCGTCGCACTGTGCCTGTCCTTGATGGCCACCTGGGAAGCCTTGTCGAGCTACATTGCCCCCGTGCTTGTTTCCGGAGGAGCGCCGTGCCTCTTCTACAACTAGTCAGTCCTTCTGCTATAGGTCTTGGTCTTATGTGCTGACAATGGTGTAGCATATTGGCCTTTGTGGGCTCCATATGTATCGTCTGCTCCCTGGCAGAAATCGCGTCCATCTATCCGACCGCCGGAGGTAAGCCCAGACAAATCATGACCCCTTTCAGAAATCGAGGCAAAAGAAAAACTAACTGGAATGGAATGACAGGTCAGTATCATTGGGTCGCTGCTCTATGTCCCTCTGGTCATCGACGCATCTCCTCGTGGATGACGGGTTGGATCTCCGTCGGTGGGCAGACGGTCTTGACGACGTCGGCTGCCTTTGCGGGAGGACTTGGCTGCCAGGCCCTCATCACGCTGAACCACTCTTGGTATAATCCGAAGCCGTGGCACGGTGTCATGTTTTTCTGGGCCATTGTGGCGTACTCGACCGTCGTCAACGCCTGGTTGATCAAACTGATGCCTGGCCATAATCTTGCCGCTGGTATGTTGGATCCCTTGATCCGCCGGTTGCCCCTCGTCGAGCTGCAATGTCTGACACTTTTTGACAACAGGCGTTATCCATATTCTTGGGTTTCTCGCCATCATCATTACTCTTCTCGTGACGGCAGAAAAACACACGGCGGAGTACGTCTTTACGGAATTCACCAACAGCAGTGGCTGGAACAATGGCGTCTCGTGGCTCATCGGCCTGCAGAGTGCAGTATATCCCCTCCTCGGGTAAGTCTCATTCCAAGCCGACATTCCCAACTACCGAGCACTGACTCTATACCGCAGATACGACGCTGCGTGTCACTTGGCTGAGGAGCTTCCCCATGCCAGTCGCAACGTCCCCCTCGCCATGGTGGGCAGTGTTGTCATCAACGGCCTCATGGGTCTCGCGTACACCATCATCCTATTGTTCTGCTCCGGTACTCTCTCCGACTTGCTCAGCACCCCCACCGGATTCCCCTTTATGCAAATCTACCTCGACGCGACCAAGTCTCAGGTGGGAGCCACGCTCATGTCCCTGCCTGTCATCTTCATCGCCATCGCCGCGAGCGTGGCCGGCACCGCGTCCACCTCGCGTACTCTGTGGGCTTTTGCGCGTGACAGGGCGACGCCGTTTGACCGCCACATCAGCGCCGTCAGCTCCAGGATGGAGGTGCCCGTCTTGGCCATTTTCATTGTGTCCATCATGCAGGCCCTGCTCGGCCTCATCTATCTCGGCAACTCGACGGCCTTGAATGCTGTTCTTTCCATGTCTATTATCGGCATGTACATTACCTACGGACTGCCCATCTTCTTTATGCTCTCGGCACGCAGCAAGATTGCCAAGGGTTCCTTTGGTCCGTTCCGTATGCATCCCGTGGTTGGCCCCGTCATCAACATTGTCAGCCTGATCTTCATCACCGTCGTCATCATTTTCAGCTGTTTTCCCACGAGCCTTCCCGTCACCGCGCGGAACATGCAATACTCGACGGTCGTGTTGGCCGGTTGGATCGTGATTGGAATAGTGTACTACTTTTGGAGGGGCAAGAACAAGTTCCAGGTTCCTGCCACGTTTTCTGTCACTTCAGGACTCGCTCCTGCGCCGGAAAAAGGAGCGGCTGCACAGTGATGCAATTTTCCGAGTTGAAAGCGTAACTAGTATGCTTTCGATGTTGATGTACTCGCATTATTCTGAAACATGTACTATACAACTGATATCAAGGGTGCGCGTTGATTGCACTGTGACTCGTGACACTGTGACTCGTGCTGCACGGCAAGGGGAGGCGCCGGGGCAAGAAGTGTGGCCCAGCTGCAGCGGAACTCCTTGAATGCCAGAAGAAGGGCATCACGACCTGCCAGGTGAAGAGCATCCCGAAATACGACGACCTAGCCACTTTACACCTGCCGAGACTTGTTACCACCAGGCAAAGTCGCTAGAAATTTTAATTGATTTCTCCTACTTTTTGCCATGAATGAGCAATTCGTCATTCGCGTACTGTGCAACGTCGATAACTCGTCGGTGCATGAAGTGGCTGCTCCCTGCAAGGTTGGTTGCCCATTGACCCGAAAAAATGATGTGCTTTGGAGATCGGCCCGAGCCAGCTTCATCGGCAAGATGCCCCGCCTATTAAGTCGATTTCTCAACATTCTCGCCCAAGAGTTGTTCGGATGGAGAGACGAATACTAGTAGAGAGGTAAATGTACTCCGTCTGCGCTCCGGCGAGTGCTCCGGAGGCACCTAGCCTTTCTTGACTCCAGCCAACGATGACCGGTAAATATGAGCCGGGCACGGAGCTTCATCGGGTCTTTCAGCGCCTCTGTGCCAAGGCCTCAAGGCCATACCTAATACCTAAAGCGCCCGCAAAGCCCCCCGAGACGCCGGCTTCGAAATAATTGGGACACAGTGGCAATGCAGCAAGCTTGGATCGAGAGACAAAGTGTGACAATGGAGGTCATTCTAGAAGAATGTTGGTAGGCCAAGTAAATAGTTACATGCCGGTATTTCAAGGAATATATCTCGCCCTGAGCATTGAATCGTTTTCATAGTTCTTATAGTTTTCTAGGGTCTTTTTCCCTTGTGCCTACAAATTACGACCTCATGATGCTAGCATTTTGGCGGTTGCTGGTTGGCTACGATGGCGCGCCAAGGCTAACTAGGATAGACCAGGATCTGCACCAGATGTAATACCAGGGTGGAGGCCTTGCCTCCGAGAGGCGGCTCGCAAGGCGAAGTTGACACAGGACAAAGAGGCTGAGCCCCTGAAGTTGCGTGGGCTGGAAAGTAGGGGGTCAGGACTCAGGGGTCACAGGATCACAGAATATGCAACAGAACAAAGTCGCCAGGCAACGAACTGGCGGCAACTGGAGAGATGACGACGTCATCGGGTAGATTGCGAGAGCTGGTCGAGCAGTTGAGCGTCAAGAAGAAGCGCCAACGGACAGACGAAGAGACAGGGCGCGAGTCAAAGAGATCAGACAACAGGTTACAACCCGCGGAGCAAGACGCAACGCGGCCTTTGTTCAAAATGTGAAACGAGAGGCATGGAAGGAAGACTCATGGCCGGGAACCCCAAACCCCTTGGAAAGGGGGCCATGATGTAAAGAGTGGGCTGTTTGTCTATTTGGCGCTGTTGACTGGCAGAATTATCTCCACCTGCAGATGCACCAGCGGGACTAAGAATAGCAACGGGCGGTGCAAAAAAGGCAGACGGACAAAGTGAGGCAGGAAAGAAAGGCAGCACGAGAGAGAAGGGCAACTAACTAGGTAGTTGGTGAACTACCTATGTAAATACGGGGGATGAAGGAACTAACTAATTTGTACATATGAGGGGCTGGTGATGATGGCTGGCAAAACGGCGCGACCTGCTGACGCCTCGGCCTCGAGCGAGACTCCATCTAAAATCCCCTGCCCGTAACCACAGCACACATACCAGTCTCAGCCTTGGCAACACAGAATCCTTGATTCATTCATCAGCCTTTTGCTTTATTCTTTTCATCTTATTTCAGGGCCACCCCGATAGTTATCCTCTGAAACCCACTAGCAATATCACGTGAGGCTGGAACAACAGCTCCCTTCCTACCTAAGGAAAAACCCCCACCTCCAACTCTGCCTCTCGACAAACAAACACGCCTTCTCTTGACCAGCGCAACACCCACGATCCAATGGATCCTCGTCGCGCGCAGAATCTGCGCCGGACGCCGTCGCCGAGTCATCCTCTGCATCAGGGCTACCAACTCGACGACCAGCCTTATGGCCACCAGCAATACGACATGGCCACTCCTGGCGCCCATCCTCAGCGCTTTGGCACGCCCTCTGACCAGCTCAATATTCATGCCGCCGTAAGTCGTTCCCGCGGACATGCATGCCTGCCCGTCCCGCGACACCCAGTGCTCACCTCTCCCCCGCCGTCAGCAATCCGTCGACACCCTCGGCCACTACGACCAGAGCCATGCCGGTAGCCACGTCGGCCAGCCGCCGCACCGCGGCGAATACAGCGTAAACCCCGAGGCGCATCACGACCAGTACTACAACTCGCCGTACGAGCCCGGTCTCCACGACGGCGGCTACGACCAGGGCCGTAGCGGCGGCTATGACCAGGCCGGATACAGCCACCAGGGCTACGAGCAGAATGACTACTCCGACACTGGCCACCCCGCGCTGCAGCAGCAAGACCAGCGCCTCTTGCAAGACGACCCGGCCCAGCAGCAACATCCGACGCAGCCCTCTCTTGCTGGCGGCCCCGCCATCAAGCGATGGAAAACCGTCAAGCAGGTTCTCCTCTACCGCGGCAACCTCGTCCTCGACTGCCCCGTCCCGCCCATCATGCTCCAGCAGAACCCCCACGGCGAGCGCGACGAATTCACCCACATGCGCTACACGGCCGCCACCTGCGACCCCTCGGACTTTTACAATGAAAACTTTACCCTCCGCCAGAAGCTCTTTAGTAAGCCCCGTCACACGGAGCTCTTCATCGTCGTCACCATGTACAACGAGGACGACGTCCTCTTTGCCCGTACCATGATTGGCGTCTTCAAGAATATCGAGTTCATGTGCAACCGCCCCAACAGCAAGACCTGGGGCAAGGACGCCTGGAAAAAGATTGTCGTCTGTGTCGTCTCCGACGGCCGCGCCAAGATCAACGAGCGCACCAAGGCCGTCCTGTCCGGTCTCGGTGTCTACCAGGAGGGTATTGCCAAACAGCAGGTCAACGGCAAAGACGTCACGGCGCACATTTACGAGTACACCACGCAAACCCACATCACACTCAAAAACGACGTCGTCGGCCTCGTCCACCGCCGCCAGCCCGTGCAGATGCTCTTTTGCCTCAAGGAGAAGAACCAAAAAAAGATCAACTCGCACCGCTGGTTCTTCCAGGCCTTTGGCCGCGTGCTCGATCCCAACATTTGCGTCCTGATTGACGCCGGTACGCGCCCCGGCCACAACTCCATCTACCACCTCTGGAAGGCCTTTGACCTCGAGCCCATGTGCGGCGGCGCCTGCGGCGAGATCAAGGCCATGCTGGGGCGTGGCGGCAAGAACCTGCTCAACCCTCTGGTGGCTACGCAAAACTTTGAGTACAAAATGAGCAACATTCTAGACAAGCCGCTCGAGTCCGCCTTTGGCTTCATCTCGGTCCTGCCCGGCGCCTTTTCCGCCTACCGCTACGTTGCCCTACAAAACGACAAGAACGGCCAAGGTCCCCTCGAAAAGTACTTTTTGGGCGAGACGCTCCACGGCGGTAGCAGCGCCGGCCTATTCGAGTCCAACATGTACCTGGCCGAGGATCGCATTCTCTGCTTTGAGCTCGTCACAAAGCGCAACTGCCACTGGATCCTGCAGTATGTCAAGTCGGCGACGGGCGAGACCGACGTACCTGATACCGTCACCGAGCTGGTCTTGCAGCGTCGTCGCTGGCTCAACGGCTCCTTTTTCGCTGCCATTTATGCCATTGCTCACTTTTACGAATTCTTCCGCTCCGACCACTCCATTCTTCGCAAGATGGCATTTTTTGTCGAGTTTGTCTTCAACACCATTAACATGATCTTTGCATGGTTTGCCATTGGCAATTTCTTCTTGGTTTTTCGAATTCTCACGTCTAGTCTAAGTGCCAAAGACTTGCTTGGCAGGACCGGTCAGATTCTCAGTATTGTCTTGACCTGGTTGTACGGCGTGTCGCTCATGACTTGCTTCGTCTTGTCCATGGGCAATCGTCCAGCTGGCTCCGGAAGGTTATACGCCATGATGGTCTGGTTCTGGGCCGTCTTGATGATGTAAGTTGCATCACTAATCAACAGACTCTAGTTTTTGCTAACCAAGAACAAAACAGCTACCTCATGTTTGCCGCCATCTTCATCTCCGTCAACGCCATCATTACCGACCTGAACAAGCACAACTTTTCCATCGACCAGCTCTTTACAAATCCAGTATTTGCCACGCTCATCGTCTCCGTCATGTCGACCTTTGGTATCTGGCTCGTGGCCTCGATCATCATGTTTGACCCGTGGCACATGTTCACCTCGTTCATCCAGTACATGCTGCTGACACCGACCTACACCAACGTGCTGAACGTCTACGCCTTTTGCAACACGCACGACGTCTCGTGGGGCACCAAGGGCGACGACAAGGTGGAGAAGCTGCCGTCGGTCAACACAAAGGACGGCGCTGGCAAGACGGACCTGCCCGACGAGGGCGACCTCAACGCCCAGTACCAGCGCGAGTTGCAGGTGTTTGCGACCAAGTTCAAGGAGGTCAAGAAACCCCCCACGGCTGTCCAGCTGCAGGAACAGCAGATGGACTACTACCGCGGCGTGCGCACCGGTGTCGTCCTCGTCTGGATGCTGACCAACTTTGCCGTCGTGGCCGTTGTGCTGAGTTCCGCCGGCCTCGAGGACGTGACGCCAGAAACGACGCAGCAGGAGCAGCGCACGAAACGTACCACTATATACATGGCCGTTGTGCTGTGGAGTGTCGCAGTTCTGAGTGCATTCAAGTTTGTCGGCGCCATGTGGTTCCTCATTGTGAGAATGTTCCGCGGTGTTTAGCGTTGATTAAGCTTCAGCCATGTCATTTACTGTACTTTTTTTTCTTTTTTTTTGTTGCGTCATGAGATGATATTCTAGACGGGGATTGTAACTAGTCTGGTACTGGTCGACTGCGCGTTTCTTTCTTCTTTCTCCCGCCCCTTCATTCACACACCTTGTTTTCTTCTTTCTGGATTATACCCCCCCGTCATACGACTTTTGTTCTCCTCTTCATCAATCGACAAGTTGGGACAATGGGATTTTCAAGCCAGACGGTATCCTGCCGTTGACGATTTCCAGTTGGCCTTTTGGCTGCGACGAGCCACGATTGGCACGCGGGCTGCAAAAAGGTGGCAGCTGTCCAACTTTTACTCCTTCATGTTTGTTACTTTTTATGTTCTTCGCTCACCCACGTAACTAGTCTGCTATTTTACTTTGTTTTACAACTTTCATTGCCCTTGCTTTTTTTTTTTTCTGATTTCACACATGTCATGAACAAAATGCAGTCAGCGGGGAAGCTGGCGTTGGAGACGGAGGATTGGATCTTGTCGCGTTGTCGAATACAGGCTCGATGAATTGGGAAGCTGTTCTACTCTTAATATCAAGAGATTGAATACAAATCGCTACCACAATGTCGGTGAATGCAGCTCCGAATACGCCATCCATGTTTGTGTCTTTTATACGTCTCGGCCTACTTTGACTCCAATCCCAACACCCGCTTCTAGTCCATTTTCGTGATGCTGTCCCCCGCTCATGCCGCTCTACAGACAAGCCAAGCGCCGAAGACGAGCAAACACGGGCGTCCCCAGACCCGTCACGGCATCCCACCCCCAGTCCGCGGGCCACCCGGCGTCTGGTATATGAGGCGAGCTCGCGCCCGAGTACGAGGTGCCCGGACAGCCGGTCGACTTTCCTGTCGTGATGCTGCCGATCCAACCATTAGCGAAAGCGGTTCCCTATCAAAAGGTGTGTGTGTGTGTGTGTGTGTGTGTGTACGTACTCGGTAAGGCCGTAATGGCCAAACTTGTACAGCCACGGGTTCAGGAACCCCATGGCCGGCTTTCCCTTTTCCGCGCGGAGAGTGTTGAGAACCGCAATCAGGGCGGCTAACACCGGCGCCGCCGCGCTGCAACCAGTCAGTGAACCATTTCAAGACTATTTTATCTACACCCATCTCCTCTCGCATACCTTGTGCCGTCCGCATTTTCCACACTGCCGTGGTTGTAAATCTGATAATTCCTGCCCAGCGCCGCCACGTCGGGAATGCCCCGTCCCGTCGCATTATACAAGCCCTCCCACTGCGCGCCATACCTGTCCAGGTACCCGCCCACCGCCGCGTCCTGCCACGCGGGCCTGGCAAAGTACTCGGAGAAGCCGCCGCCGGACAGCTCCCACGCCGTCTCCTCGTTTCCCCCCGGGGAGTACCTCGTCGCCCCCACGGCCGTCACGTACGGACACGTGGCCGGAAACGCGGGCAGGAAGCGCAGCGCGTGCGAGCCGTCGTTGGCCTGGCACGACTGGCCCGGGCCGGCGTCGCCGGCGGCGACGATCACGGAGACGCCGCGGGCGGCGAGCTGCCCAAAGACGTCGCAGACGTGCTCCGCGTAGGAGCGCGCGAGAAGCTGCTCGTTGACGCCGTACGAGATGGAGATGACGGAGGGCAGCGCGGAGGAGGGTAGCGCGGCGAGCGCGGTGGCGAATTCGAGGTACGGCTCGGTGCGGCCGGTCGAGGGGAGGCTGTATTTGGAAGGGGATTAGTAGAGGAAACAAGCTAGGGGGGGGGCGAGAAGACGGACTCGAGATCGGGGATAAAGTCTGAGTTCTCGCCGCCGACGGAGATGAACTGCACGTCGACGTTGCTGCCGGCGAGGGCCAGGGCGTACTGGATGTCGAGGTTGCCCTCGCCGGCGGCGTACTCGCCCTGCGGGTTGGCGCCGCCGTTGAGAAAAGTCGAGGTAAAGTTGGCGCCGGCCCGCGCGGGGTCAATGTCTCTGAGAAAGAGGTCCAAGTCTGCGTACTGCGCGGTTTGCTGCTTCCTCCCACCACCCCCCTCATCGTCAGCCCACATGCTTCAAAGTCTCAAACAACGTGGCAAGAGAGAGATTGCGCGCCAGCTTTTCTCTCTTTATTTTTTTTACCTTGGAAAAGCCAATGATACCTAGGGTCGTCCTGGCGCTGGTGCGGGGGGGCCCGTTGTTGATGCGATACGTGCTGCGCAGACACGCCGGCGTGAGCTTGTCCTCGCAGCGGGCTTCTGGCGCCGCCGACGCATTGGCGTGGCGGCGGCGCTGCAGCAGCGCCTGCGGCGGCGCGTGGCGTCCTTGTTCGTCGTCGAGGTACGCGGCGCGGATATGTCTGCGGACGTCTGGCGGCGCGAGCACCTCGGCGCCGCCGGACTGTCCGCCGTCGGCGCGCTTGCGGAGGGGAGCAGC